GTACTGGAGGCAAGAGAGATTCTCATAGTTAATTCTGATAGGATGGAGCTATCTCAGGAGATGATGTAGCCGAGATACTTAATTTGGTCAACTTTTTTTACCACTTTGCCTTCTGTTCCACTTGGAAATCAGCTGGGCTTAACGAATTCCATAAAACTTCCGGAGGTTGAATAGGAGAGCAGCTTTCATAGTTATGTTGCATACTGTTATAACGAAGCTCTTTTCCCACACTGCTGACCATGAAGAAATCCGCTTACCTAATATGGACCTAACCCATCATTTCGAATAGTTAGACATCATGAATCTGGTTACTCTGCAGTTCGATGCCTATTAGTCCCAAATGACAATGATTAAACAGCTTAGGCAATGTCATCTTTGCACCAAAAGACAGAAACAAAATTTTCCGATTATTGTGTCTTCCTTATAGAATGAGATCTTCTTCCAATGCCGTGAGGCAGTGGCGCAGTGCCTAAGAGACCTGTTTCGAATTCTGGAGGCGTCAGGTTTGACTCAGCTCAAGAACAATCTCCGTTTAATCGATGGATTAAATTCAGCAAGGAATTTACCATCCAGTGCCTCTGACCAGTGTTGCTCAGTCGAGGCATTTAACTCATAACCGAACGTTCACGAGTTCGTGCGCCGGTTAGAACCATTTTCTTTTCTTAACTCTGAGGTTAATCAGTGAGTACGTATCTGCAGATAAAACAGGAGAATGAAGAATACGCCTTTCACACTGTTGTAGACTCAGTCTTTAAAAGGAAGCATTCGACACAGAAATGGAGATCAGCACCACGCCGGATACTTTATAAAGCAAAGTGCGCCAGAACGGTCCTATCATTAACGCAAGACTGACTGACGTTCCAACAGTGATAAACTTTTTTTCGTTGCCTGCTAAGATCAGCATTGGTCTGGAAGAGAAAACTGAAAACAATGTTGACTAGGAAAGTATTTCCTTTGATTATTTCCACCGTTAAAAGCTACCACACAGAGTTCTTTCCTTCGAGCTCTTTATCCGACATAATTCCTGCGCATGGTTCGTCAGGGTCGTCAGCAATAACATTGTAATCACTGCTTTGATCATCGGAGCATTGGTGCAGCAAATGGCCATGCGACGGTTGTCCGAAAGTTCAGTTTTAGTAGCGCAGTTTAAAAACCTACCCAACCTTCTCGACAAAGAAAATCGAAACCATTACTGCAGAAACAAATTGCAAGTACTTAAATGTAAACTCTGTTTTGACATCGTAAAATTATAGTTATCTACTTTGCTACTAATATGAATATTTAACATTTCAAAATAAAATTAACATTCATAAATTTTAACACTGTAACAACAAAATCATCCAAAGATTAAACAGTTCGTTGATGCGTTTTGGGGGAGGGGGTCAAACAGATAAACAGCATAAAACAGGCTCCATACACTACGCAAAAAATAAAATATAACCAGTAAGGTTACTGACTATACAGACGTGACGTTTCGACATGTGTCTTACGGGACTTCAGCAAGCTAAGGCGCTGAAAAAGTCTCGGAGGCCTTCTGGCTCCAAATATACTAACTGCTGCGGACATGAAAACCTTATAGCTCTCATGCTGCGTGTTGAAATCCCCTTACGATATATTGCGACCACTCCGCTTTCTATAATGAACTGAATCAACAGACCCACGCTATGTGCAAGCATGTCGCAGTTGCAGAGGTTAGACCGAATCACATGCACTTTGCAGATGGTCTAGGCATTTCATGCTTAGTGTTTTTGCTGGCGGATGTGACTATGCTAGTAAGAAACTTCGTTTAACCGAGATTAAGAAATTTATTACCTCAACAAACGTCATTCCGTGTAATTTGCAAAAAGTAGAACAGAACGACGCCAGTAGACAAATATATGAATCTAGTGATAGCCTAAGCAAGTGACGACACCCAAAACGTAAAGAGAAACTGAACAGATAAGCTTGCCTGATGTGATTAAAATGAGACTGAGAATAGTTCACCATATCGTGTTAAACTCGGAAATGTATCTCGTCACAAACATAACCTTAACCGCAGAATTTTAATTGAAACTGTACAGCAAATAACTTTCTGTTTCAGCATATCCCAAAAAATGAAAACACGATATCAGAGAGTCAGACTAAAATGGCCATGATCACAGGCCCTTAAGCATATCAAGAAAAATGAGGCCCATTAGAATTTTCGTCATTTTGAGAAAGTTCGCCATAACTCTCCGTGAACCACTTATCTACCAGGCGGGGAGGATGCAGTTACATAATCAAAGTTTCATGAACACGGTTGCAAAATCAGAGTTGCAATTTCTAGATATATTGGCAGAGTGATTGATTAAATTCTCAAATTAATGTTACTTGGAATGAACGACGAATAGAAAGGCTTTGATGCAAAACAATTATTCTCAGAATAGAATAAAACAGAATTGAGTATCTGCAGAACAGGACATGGTTCATTTAGAACGTTTCAGAAGATAATAAGCGGAAAGAACTACAGTTTTGGGAAAAGAATCCAATCATAATGATGGTGCTAGACTATATCATCATGTATGAAGTTGTAGCTATTATTCGAATTTTGAAACATCCAAATTTATCGGTGGAAACAGTTATGATTCAATTTTTGTATAGCAGTAAACAACTCCTAAAGGGTTGAATATATTATATCTACGATGTAATAATTTCCAAAAACATTTTTCCGTTCTTAAGATTATTTAAAAAGGATTGGCGAGAATTCAGCAATTCTTTAAACTATGCGAAGCTAACGTCACAATCTCGTAATTTCTGACTGTATGCTACCCGCACTCTAAGTCAAGCATTTATTTTAATTTCAATGATTGTTGACACTTTTGTGCTGACTTATATTCAGTTATCAGGTTAGTTAAGGCAGCGTTTTGTGACTGACTTATATTAAAAAACTATATTCACCCATAGTTCACTGCAGGATTAACTAAAAAGACAAAGCGAAATGGGTTTTCGGCGAAGAAGTAATTAATAAATATACTTGGTGTACAAAACAATATAACAATTTACTTTAGCGTACCAAGGTTGATTATACTTAAGCATCGTGCTCTACAGTAAACAGCGATAGATTAATTGTTTTATTCCTTAAACGGTTTGAAGCTACTTTAGTAATCGTAAAGAAGTCTGATATTGTCATGTAGTTCAGAGCACATGTTGTAGATTTCTTTATCTTCAATTTTTCAAGGTTAACTTTTCTTTTTATGACTACGTTTTATTCTTTTTTCTAAATGGTTTATAAATTAAATCCTTATATTTTTACGGCGCTTTACTTCACGTTTAAAGCAGGCATTTTCCAGCTTTCGTGTTGTTCCTTATAATGAAATTTCGCTGCGCTTGTAAGTGTTAAAAATTATTCAAATGGCGAAGTATCTGTTGATTCCGTAGTCTGCAATGCGCTAAGGTACTGACCAATGCAGCTTCGACTATTTACTACCCCACAGACACTGAGGCCCAGCCAGTAAGTTTTTTGCGATATAAAACATTAGGCTGTAGAAATTATTATTTCTGAATGTGCACAAAGGATTCCTGGAAATTTTGGATAATAGTCAGAATGCTACGAATATCATCAGCTGACTCAAAAATGTCGACATTTCGAATTAGCATTTCTGGTTGTCTCAACCTACATGATAAACGGAAAATATACAGATTAAGAGGACAGTTATCACAGAAAGCAGCTTAGGGATACCAGAATGAGATTATGCAGCCAGACAGAGGCAGTTCAATGTGATATGAGTCTAGAAGATATCAAAAGGGAAAACAATCGAACCGCTGAGCCATCTTACTGCGTACTAGAAAGGTTAATAATCACTGTTTGATACCCTCGGATTCTCTGAGAGTCAGTTCCTGAAATAACAAATGATATATGATGATTATATTATGATGATCAGGGGATATATAATAATGATAACAAATC